CTCGAAATCGAAGAAAGTTAAAGACTAGTTTCCTCCAATATTGCAGAAAAGTTTTGGCAAATTTTCCCAAAACTGTAAATTTAAGAGCATTTACTGCCAAATTTGGAGAAAATTTTCTCCAAAAAGTCGGAGAAAGCGATGATCAAATTTCTCAAAAGCAGGGGTATCCTCTCCCCATCTCCCCCTGCTCGCACTGCTTCTGAAATTCTCTCATGAATTTGTTCGCCTGTTGAAAAAATACGATTAAAACATGATTTGATAGCCATACCTAGATTACGAATATAAAGAAGATCAAGTATTAAATGATCAAATCGTTCATTAATATCCACAAATGAATACAGAACATCGACCATGTTCAGTTTTTAAAAATAAGGAGTAAAATTTCATGATTTATATTTAATTGAGCAATAAAAAATACAGAATGAGCAATAATCAAATTTAGCGATAAATATATAGAATGAGCAATATATACAGTGGGTACCAAAATTATTCAACCAGGTTTATTTTCAATTTCTTTCCGCTATCTTGAACGCTAGAAACAATCCAAATAATGATTCTGGTAGAGAAAACTGTTTCCAACCAGATTATAAGGAAATAAAAATCCTAATTAGATTCGTAAAGACGGGGTCTCCAGAAAACCAAAACCCTAGTTTTTCAGCACCTAGAATGCGCAAATATAATTTAATTTAGACTAAGCAGAATGATAGAAAAAACAATTCTCTACAAAATGAGACGTCTCCGAGTTCTCTACGATGTTTTTTGGCTGATATATAGCAATTCTACTGAAGCCTCTAAACGCATTTTTTCACGATTTTCTATGGAAAAACCATTTTTGGGCCTATAATCAAGTTGCTATATCTCAGTCAAAATACATCGTAGAGAACTCGGAGACGTCTCATTTTGTAGAGAATTGTTTTCTCTATCATTCTGCTTAGTCTAAATTAAATTATATTTGCGCATTCTAGGTGCTGAAAAACTAGGGTTTTGGTTTTCTGGAGACCCCGTCTTTACGAATCTAATTAGGATTTTTATTTCCCTATAATCTGGTTGGAAACAATTTTCTCTACCAGAATCATTATTTGGATTGTTTCTAGCGTTCAAGATAGCGGAAAGAAATTGAAAATAAACCTGGTTGAATAATTTTGGTACCCACTGTATATATATAATAGACAACACTTCATATATAAACGAATAAGCGAGGGATATTTTGAAACTTCATATGATTCAGTTTGACATTAATCGGACAACTACATATGAACATGCTGTATATGGATACAATGAGATTTATCTTTTATTCTGATTTATGACAAAATTCCAACTCAATAGCAAAATATTGTGAAAGATATTTCAATAATTGAATTCATTTTCGAATATTATATCTGGTCTTTTTTTTTTGAAAGTTCACTATTCTTAGCTCGCCATTATATTCAATAAAAATGTACTACTACATTGCATATGATCGACTGCCTTTATCTTGATTCGATTTAGGGATGTTTAGAAAAAAAGTCGATATATCTGAATTGTAAACTGAATCCAAAAGAATCCAAATAATGCTCGATAGTTCTTAACAGATCAAGACATGTTGATATCCTATTTCATATAATACAAATTACTTATCGTTAAATAATTATTTTTTTTTATTTTAGTTTTCTTGTAAACATAGAAGAATCATATACTTTGAATCTGATAATACTATTTCGTCATTAATATTATTCAATTATGTAATACAACTATGAACAGTATATTTCTTGGAATATAATTGCTGAAACATAAGAGAGCAGTATGAGTATACAGTAGATATTATTATTGCTCACAGCTCATTAGTCATTTCAATAAAAAGTCGATCATCAAGCGATGTTTTATTACAACCTTGCTGTATGGTTGTAGATACACGTGGGTTATCCTTGAAATTATCATAGAATAACAAAACTGCATATGCAGCTATAAAATATGTTTCAGTACAAAAAAATATGAATAGTTACTCTTTTTGTTAGGTATTTTTCCTTTCCTTCGAGTGTAAACAAAAGGAATGAAGATAATAAAATCTAAGTAGTTATTAATCGTTCTTTCACTTCTTAAGCGCAAGTATTATAGGTTTGTATTGATTTTGTTTTTCTGTATTTCATTGTCAAAGCATTCTAGAATGCAGTTGTTTTAAAAGATAGTGTATGATGTTTCGTACAAATTTCGTTTTCATAGTACTGCATTAAACATATTGGATTTTATTTTACGTTTGCTTCGTTGATTTGAAGTTAGAATCCATAAAATTATGCAGAATTTCCAAATTTTAAATTATATTAAAAAAAAATTCAATTATTGTCATATGTTTTAAGAAGTTTGGCCGATTCTCTGTAAGATCATGTTAAATAATCTTTATTTCAAGACTACTCTTTTGCGATTGAAAATTGTTGTTTCTGTCATTTAAATTTTTTTTTATCATAATATAGTCTAAATTAGTCTTCATTCACTGGAAAAATTTTGGAACTCGAATACTGTCTTTGATCATACAAATCTAATTTCTGTCAGAGAAGAGAAATAGCAAGTGAAAGTTTTTAAAATAATGCTGAAGATATTTTTTTTTTGATTATTGGAAATATTTGATGCGTTCAACAATTGCATCACATGAAGTTGAAAAACTTTTCCAACAAAGTTTGTAGAACATATTATAGACAATTTTAGAAAAAAAAATTAGCAATCGACAATGTTTATGCATTTCGAGACCCAAAAAGACAATTCAGATAGAAAAATTTTACTCTACATAAAACGAATGAAGGTTGAGTTCTAATATTTAGGCATCCGATCGACTGTTAAAGTAGAAACGCTTTGTATCTTTTGACATTTCTGTACTCTCTAAACAATCGACACTGAGTTGTTTTATCAATCACTATAATACCTTGTGACATGATTTTCAATGATAAAAATGATGTTTTTGTTAAGATTTGTGTGTACAAGAGTGACTTTTCTTTCGATGGAATTCGTAGAAGAAACAAGAAATGATCTGATTTAATGTAAACGATGTAATAGAAAATGGATATTCACGTACATTTTTGTTGGAAATATTCTAGGAATCTCATGATCATTTAGCAAGTGTACGTTCTTCTTGAAATGGCTCATAATATTTTAAAAAGATTTCCACCACAGCATGCCCTTCGAGTTATTGAAAATTTTACACCATCTGAACTTTCGAGAAAACCAATTGTACAATTCGAAGCTTTGCAAAACGTCTCGATCGAAGCGGCTATAGATCCATTGGCTTCACTTGTTTCTGATATCAAAGAAATGGTTGTCCAAAGCGAAAGAGAAATGTGATAGACCAAAAGATGGCTTAACAATTGATGAATCTGTTTCAATTATGCTCTATTCTCTCGAATGGGAACCAAGAGAAAATTCATTTTATGTTATTCTCAACAATACATTGCGAGCAGAAGATGAAGAAAAACTAAAACCATGACATCTTTATTTAAAATTGTTTGTTACGCACTTGAAAAATTACCATCAATTTCTAAAACTATTTATCGAGGAGTAAAAATAGATCTGAGTGCTCAATATCCAGTAGGAAAAACATTTGTTTGGTGGAGTTTTTCATTATGTACGGCTTCAATAGAAGTACTTCAATCTGAACACTTTCTTGGAAAAACAGGGAGTGGAACTCTATTTAATATTGATTGTAATTCTGGAAAAGATATTCGACAACATTCATTCTTTCCAACGGAAGATGAAATATCACTTATTGCTGTTCGACAATTTAAAGTGGTCTCGTGTCTTGATTCGGGTAATGATCTTCATATAATTCAATTGAAAGGAATGAAATCAGATCATCCTCTTCTATGATCCTCGCGTAAAACACATGATGCCGCCCAATCGAACAATAGATCTCCACTGAATCATCGTGAAGATTCAAAAACTACCTCTGCAGGCTCATCGACATCTCTAAGATCGGCTCCACCGACAGCACCGATTCCACCTCAATTTCAACCTGGATCTATGCCTCGAAAACCACCTCATTTCCCACGATAGTTTTCTATCTGAACGCTATGAAAAATTTATTTGTCTGACTAAGTGACTAATCGAATTGCAAGTTTTCTTTTTTTAAAATTCTAATACTAATTCTATTATATTCGTATTTATTCTGACCAATTCACAGTTACTGTACTCACATTTTTACAATTACTGACAATATTCAAGAATAAAATTATTGGCAAATGGTTTATAAATCATATAGTATTATGCAGAATACACGTAAAATGAAAACAAGTGTACGCAAATTTGTTTCTGCACCGAACTTGAATTTGAAACATGACGTAAATCTGACATACTAGTATCAACTTGCCAAACAGTATGCATAAGTTGTCTTTGGTGATGTTTGCACCAAATTTCGACAAGATGGAAACAAATTTCTAAGAAATTACTATCATTGGCCCAGATTCAGCAGGCAGATCGATATTTGTAGCTGTAAGGCGCAACATGCCATGAAATCCACGTTTTTTGATAGCGCGTCTAATTCAGCAACTACAAAGTTTATAAAACTACGTTATGCAGATATGCACACAACTTTCATATCATGAGTTGATCTACAATTGCAAATGTTGGGATGATTTTCGATACATTTCAGTGAACAATAGACATGATAAATGAACTTTACATATAGAACTAAGACTCTAGAATACAACCAACAGAAGTCTCTCAGTCAATATTTTTAAGTCATAGAAGAAAATAAAAGTCAAGAGCATAAATCAATAATGACACGACCAATATCAGTTTAAATCGACTCTGATTGTGACTCAATAATTGATCAAGATTTTGTGTCGTTGATAAATTCATGCTAAGTTTCTTTATTTATCGGACATGCGAACAGAATAAACTTCTCAACAGGCAGAATATGACACAATGTATCCGGTTTCTACTCAATCATTACACTTGCCTTATTCACATTCAAGGTAGTTATATCGATCTATCAAATATTTATCTTAGATAAAAGCCCTGATAAATATGCATGCAGGAGCAAGGCATACATCAACTCTTAATATGCCATTCGAAGGTCGACTAATACAGGTAAGTGAATTACACGAAGAGGAATCATTTTGATTGATACCATGCAATCCTCTACTAAAAATAGTGTGAACATTTTTTTCTTTTTTGTCAAAGCAACCCTTCTGAAAAAAGGCACCTCTTCTGTTTAGAAGTTCATTTTCACATTTTTTTATTAAAACTTACAAAGATCAGTTCTATGTCAAAGACACCGAAAACAACTTCTAAGGGGCAGTCCATTATGCTAACAACCAGATACTTGATAAACTGAGAATGATTGATTTCAAGAAAATACAGTTGATTTTGTGACAATTTTAACAGTCGACAAAGCAGAGCACATATTTTGTAGATCACCTCTACTTTTTGACTAGTAATCAATTAAGATGAAGAGAAAGCCTACAATACAAGATAAACGACGCTTTGAAATAAACAGATGAATAGAAAAGATGTTCAACGCATGTACAATTTTATCATATTTGCCAAGCTGCAACTAAAGCTTCAAAGTCATTATATCGACTTTGAAATGTGAGACTTAGTCAGATGAAATAATATGTTAGTATGTTTTGTTTTCACTGAATAAGATGAGTAATTTTGGAGTCAATTTTGTGAAAATATACCTTCGAATGAAAATTGTCGTCCTTTGCATGCTTTGAGCAGTCAAAAAGCTCGTCGACTTCGATTGTTTGGCTTTGATAAATGATAAAATTGTTAAGATCCGTATTATTACAAAAGAAGTGTATATGGTTGAAAGATCAATCACAATAGTTTCGATATTGATTGTAGTTTTATTCGTGTAGGCAAACGAGAAATAACTGTCAAACTCAACAAAATATATAAAAATGTACAATGTTTTCATCATTTTATTAACATTGCCATTTATTGGTGGCATAAGGCAAGAGTTATTTAACCGAGACGATTATGATGCATTCGGAGATCGTTTGGCTGTTAATGAATACCTGGCGATTTTTGCAGAGAACGATTATTATCAATTTACAATAATGGAAAAACCGTTCTCATCTAATCCGATAACCTGCACCTTACAATATGCATCATTGGGTCTGCATAATGGAAATGGGACGTCACTCAATTATGTGTATAACATAGTCATAGGTACCAAGCAAAATAAAAGTCATCCACTATTTGCGGTGATAGCCGAAGATCGATCAAAAAAGATTTATTTATTAGTGGTGATTCTGAAATATCCTTCTACTTGTGTTAGTCCATTGTTTCGTAGATTATGGAGAGAAGTGGATTCAACCCAAGACTCCCAAACCTTTGCCCTTGGTATCGATCCGCATGGTACACATGCATATGTGGTACAGTTTGCTGAAACCCTGTGTTTTGACATAGTTCATAATAAAAGCATAAAAATATTGAATACAGATCTATGGGATCGAACAAATTTTTTCTATAGTCGAGCACTTGTCGTCACAGAAGATCACCATTTGCTTCTACTAGCCTATCAAGTACTTTCAGAAGAGAAGGAAACTCTTCCTTACCTGTACTTTACCAAGCTTTCAGAGCCATCCAATCTAATGCAACCTAAAATGATAAAGCTGTCATCGGAAAATTTCAAATGGCAATTGGATATCCATACCCGATATGCCACTTTGTCACTTTCGTTTCATGAACAATCGAAAATGATAATCGTTGGTATTCCACATTTAGATACTGTTTTCATTGTGTCCTTGCAACAAGAGTCACTGAATATTATAAAAGAACATGTCTCGCCTCAAAAGAATATTTTATTCGGAAAATCAGTTGCAATGCTGGATTCGAACATATACTCGGTACTAGTCTATTTACAACCTACTCTACCATGGTCGTCATCTCAAATACAGGTTAGTGGCTTGTTTCTCTTGTTTCCGAATTAGAAATCACAATCATTTGTTAATGCTACATAGAACGCCTAGATTTTCATCGATTCTAAATGAATAATAAAAGTTTGTCTACAGGAATTCATCGTTTGTTTATCGCCCTCAAAGAACATTCTATATTCAGCCTTTATCTAACTGCACTTATTCAAAAAGGTACGAGACAACAATTTTTATGCAATCATGAGATCTTCCAACAAACGATTCCGGTCAACACTGGCCATACTTGACTTGTCTGAAATAGACCAGTATCGTTAATAGCTGGTACAGGAACATATTTCTAACTAAATAGATTCTCACTTTAGTGCGAACGGTCTTTTCTAAAAAGAATATCCCCTCTTTTACAGTTGAGCTACTCTTGATAATTACACAAAAACTGCAAGTAACTACGAGGCAAAGCCTTGGAATCGGTGTATATCTACTTCATATGTAATTTCGTGGCCCAATCAGATTTGAGTTGTACTTTAGTTACATTTTGAAACTCCTAAAATAATACGATGCGTCTGTGGTCTACTGTTTCCCTCATGACGTTAGTTTCTTTTTTTTTGATTATTTATATAATTAAATGTACTGTTTTGATTGGAAATATTTTTCAATTCAACGAATTTAATTTCTATTGTGATCGAATTCGTTTTTGCACAGACTTACTTTCTCCATGAAACAGAATCAACCCCGAAACCACTCTTCATATTTCCAAACAATCAACAAGAGATCGAACCAACACGTTTGCAACCATTGCCTCATCGTATAGTTAGTCTAATAACATGGAATTCTCATAGTGTTGGTCTTGTTGTCGATGCTCCTTCTGTGATTCTTATTCCTGCAAGTCCTCCAGGATATTGTAGTGCACTAATAAAGAAATATGGTGCCATATCAATATATAAATCAAAACCCTGTATACCAAGTACTCATCAAGTGAGGAGAAGTTTTGGGCCTTGTATGATTTGTCCGCTCGGTTCAAAAAATGATGGTAGTGCTGGAAAGATGTGTGTCGAATGTATGACAAATGACACATTATGGTGTTTTGGTGCTGCTATTCATGAAATCGACATGACCAACATCACAAGTTACGATCAGGCGAGTCCCTATCCAGAGTCACCTCATACGACAGAATTCGATGGTATACTTCTTCAGAATATTTTCCGATTATCTTCCAGAAGTCGAGATTGTCTGCTGATTTCACCTCTGTTTTGGACATGCATTGCAATAGGTTGCTGCGTAATTATTTTTATTATCATTCAACTTTTTTCACGTTGTTCGAAATCTCAAAAGCGGCAACGATCTCTCGAGAAAATCTTCTCTCATGTCGATGTCATCAGCGAAGGAAAACACTGGTTAGGTGGACTGATATCGTTGTCATTACTCGTCCTAATCATATTTGTCTGTAAGTTCAGCATATCATTTGTTCATCTCTATCCAATTGAGGAAACATCATTGGACAAACGACTAAGTGTATCATGTGACGAGGGTTTGTTAAATGCCAAACTTACAAGTACTTTACAGTTACTCTCAACTTTAAAACACGACGACGAAAAGGCAATATTTACTTTACTCAATGAACAGAATATGACCCTAATTGTTCAGTTTATTAGTACAGGTTATACATGCGAAAATGTAACATTACAACAAAATCGAGATCGTGGATTACACATTCCATTCACGAATTTCAACTGTTCGAAAAGTAACGGAATATTGAGAATTTCTACACTATTACCGCAACATATTGTTACGATGCAATTTAACTTAAACGGACCACATTTTGTCGGTGGACTTCGTCTGTGCTTTTCAGCGCCTTCTGTTGTCAATGCCGATGTTTATTCTAAGACTCAACAAATGAATACATGTCAGTTTTTTTACACTCCAAATGAAACGCTAACAAAAGACCTGACAGTGAATGTGAAAATGACTAAAGTAATTAATCGAACTGCTGGGTTGACAATTCTTGATAATACAACATATACAGGTCTCTGGCTACCTTCTTTCATTGCCAATACTCTCACGGATGAACTATTCTTCTCGCTAGGTGCTGATTATCTTCGTTATTTGCCCAAAAAAACCACTTTGGTTATAGTAATAACTGAATCTGAATTCTATATGAAAAATACACAAGAACCTATTGCTGGTCAATATGAAATCGCATTTAGCACGGTTCTATTTTCAAGTAAGACTTTAGTACTTAGTAATAATGGCGAATGCTGATTGAGTATCATCTCATTCACATACCGTATTTGAATCAAAACATTAGTGCCTGAGGAACGAAGAATAGAAACCGTAAACATTATCATGAGAAAATCAAAGAAGACAAATATCAAAATTTTGATATTTTTTGAGATAATTGGTTGTTTCGTAAAGAAAAAGCATTGTATTGATCAAGACTAAAATTGAATTTATCATACAAAACTTCTATGTGAAAATACATTTCTAAACATATTCATTTTAGTGTTATGCTTGGACTTATTCGGACTTGAATTTTTGATCTTGAAAATAATTATTATTCCTCTTATCCGACTTTTACGAACAACCTTCTTTGACAAATCAGGAAACAGAGGACTATGGTACAAAACTCGAAAGAAATATGTAGCGAAGCCAGATCAACATAACACAGAAAATTGCATCTCATTACGACCAGTGACCAAGACAATTAAATATCCTATTAACAAGAATCACGTCCCAATTTTCGAAAATCATGAAAGTTTGTCGGTGCACTCGAAATTTTGATATCGTTTTTTTTTTCATAAGTATGATATTGTGCTTCTTCTGAATAAAAAGAAAGAAAGGAACATTGTATATCAATTAATTAGCTGCAATTTTGGATCTGACTCAAGATCAGCTGTCGATCTCTTGATCATTTCATATATTAAATATATGTGTAAAACTATCGACGAACTCTGTTTGCACTTTCCTACAACTATTTATCAAAGTTAGTAGCAGAACGCACGTATGATCTTCACGAATAAGTTAAGTATATATCTGTTTTGTATAAAACAAATCTACAGCTATAGAACAACTACAGATAATGGCATTATGTTACAGTAGTGGCAAAAGTAAACGATGTATTGATAGGAAGAGTTTGGCTGTTTGCGACTGTGAAAGTGGCTGAGCATGTGCTTTTGGGTGTGGATGCGTCTTCTCTTCAGATACTTCCACATGTGCGCTCACATCTATAACCTAGAATTCACCCGTATCAATAACAACATCCACACACACATTCACATTCTGTATATCCTGGACACTCCAAGAGTTCAAAATATCAAGAGAAAAATATGTCAATACACTTCTGTTAAATGTAATAGGATAAACATATCATAGCTGGGTAGTTATTTTGTATGAAAAAAAAATCAAATCATTGATTGAAAATGAAACTCGTTTACAATCTTTAATGTCAATTGTATAAAGCTACTTAATAAGATTACTCTTGAATTAAAGTTATCACATAATTCTGAATTACAACAATGGCTGGTTCTTTTGAAGGCGTCACAATTATTTGATTCATATTTGATATCAGTGCATAAACCATATGATACAGAAGAGCGAACCAATACTGGTTCATGGTTTTTTTTATGCTGTAAGTTTCTAAGGAAAAAAAGAACTAGTCGGATAAGTATGATCATAAATACATACCATACACACTTGACTTGACCATATCAGTGGTACAGTACTCATTTTATTGAATGGATGGAAACAGACATCGAAACAGTTAAAAGGTCAAGTTTCAGCAATGTCTTCATGAACACGAGAAGATTATTTAAAAACAAAACACTACTGATATACTCGAAAAGTAAACTAAGAATGTCAATATGACAATCAGTAATAATTTATCCATACCCTTCGTACAATACGTTAAACATGTATTTGTCTAACATTTAGACAGTTAAATTTCTTATTAATTTATTGTTTCTCGCTGATTGTTATTTCTATATCCTTACTTTATTCACAATTTATCTTGATTCAATTATTCAGTCAGACAAGATACCTCAAAATGCGGTAAATTACGTTAAAACCACCTTTTCACGTTACCTTATGGTTACAATGCGTTTTATTTTCCTTTACCTACATTTTTGGCCTTTTGAACGACAAATTTTACCACTTTTATCGCGATCAAAGACAGCAACGCGTATTAACGCTGAAGAATTGGTTAAGAAAATATACTTTCGAGTACACTTTCTTTAGCATGTTTCACAACGTTCAACAATAACTCGTTGTTTCCATTTTCTAAGGCGATTCGACGTGTTTAAATGGATTTCTCTCTTGAGATTATTTGAAATGCAGGATCTTCTCATGTCGTACAAATCACTCGGAAGCATCTGATTAATCGTGGTTCTTCGGCTTGATTTTTTTAAATATTACACTGCATGAATATTTTTAAACTCTTAGAAAAACGTTAGAATTGAGTCGAAATCGTGTCTTCGATAAAAAATGAGCCTGCTTATGCAGCTTTTACCAGGCACATTAGCTGTTTCCGCTTAGTTGTTGAGTTTGATTATTTATTAAAGCCGACGTCATCTGACAATATATGCGGTGACATATTTAAATTGATTTTGTTGAGTGTCAAGTGATCAGTTCAAAATAGAAAAGACTACCTTAATAGAATAATCACACAAATCTTAATAAAGAAAAAGAAGTAAACTGCTGAAATCGTCAGTTATTTGTTGAAACATTGCTGACATTGATTTTGTTCGACCACTTATCCTAATATGAACACACCAGATGTGAAAATTATCATTTATAGACTGCTGTAATTTCCATTAGAATTACAAGTCAGTTTGTAAGAGTCATTGAAAAACACGATATTCTTAAAGACGTCAGATTACGTTTTTTTCTTTTGTATGTGCAAGATTAAACCAGTTTCTATTAGCTGTGTATTCAATTCATTATTATGTTATTTTGCTCAATATTCAGATTTGATTCTGATCTGCTCGTGATATATCATAGTCATCGTAATATTTTTTTTTCTTTTTTTATGTTTATTTCCATATTATCGAGAAACTCCTCATCAATTGAGTGCGAAGAGATGCTTGTTATATTGCTAATACTCTTATCACACTAAGAATCTGTTGCTGATTTATTTGAGGATTTACTTTTCTTATAGCTATTGAAATTATTCTCTTAAGGTGTAGGATGTGGATGAGATGTGGTTGGTGTGACCGTGGCTGTGGATGTAGGACTTTTCTTGCACCAACGCCCACATCCACGCTCATATCCTGCATTAGAAAATGAAATCAGATTGAGCTGATATGTTTTATTAAAAAATTGACGTCATCTAGAGTTAAGTGTCAAGTAAAATGTAAAAATCTGTATACTAAAAATGAAACAAACATGTTCTTTTTCTGTTGATACGTTACTTGTACTATAAGTATATGCTCGAGAACATATCAGATAAGTCTTCAGAGTGAATCAGATGAGAACTCATCGGGACTTTTTTTTCTTGCACAACTTTCTATAGCCAATAAAGTCATTATATTCACACTGAAACATCTGCAAGTCAACTACGTGGCGAAAATCATCTTCGTGTCGGTAGAAAAATCTACTGTCCAGGTTGAAAATTTATATGAACATAAATGTATATCTTAGGAAATTGAGCAAACGAAATTGGTCCTTTCGCAGTATTTAACGAACAGATGGGAGATGCTGTGAAGATATGCTCGTTACAAATAATTGCATCGATTGTCAAACGATGGAAACATTGAAGAAAGCAGGATTTGATTATTGTCAGAAGATTCACACAGATGAAGATATTTTCAAAAAATGTCGAGTTATGGCTCCCTTATACCGTATAGCGGCAGTGGCGGATCCAGGATTTCATCGAGGGGGTGGCGGTTCTTCAAGGGTACCTTCTGAGATACTGTGCTCTTGCTCTTACATTTTTTCTATGTATTGTCGGCGCCAGAATTAAATAGGGGTGGGTATAAGCTCAATAACTCGACAACCGCAATAGCTAGCGACCTGCGGTTTTCGTCAATCGAAAGAGGAGGAGTTGGGACGCCTTTTTCTCT